GTATGTCACCTGGTTGTAGAAGGAGATGAGATTGGTCAGGCAAGACCTACCCGCAAGAAACCCATGTTGGCTATCCCTCAAGATGTTGCCATCAGTCAGTTTGTCAAAAATAGTCTGTTTGATCATTTTTTCCAAGTTCTTCCCCGGGACAGAGGTCAGGCTGATGGGCCTGTAGTTCCCCAGATCTTTTCTCTCTTTCTTGAAGACAGGCACCACATTGGCCTTCTTCCAATCTTTGGGCCCTTCACCTGAGCACCATGAGTTCTCGAAGTGGCTGTCCTAGTGGATGAGCTATGATGCTTGCCAGCTCCTTAACTGTCTAGGCCAGCTGACTTGAAGGTGTCCAGCCTCTCAAAGTGTTCCTTCACATGGTCTACATTGATGAAGGGTAACAGTTCTCCCTCATGCTGTCTGTCCCGTACCATATTGAGCAGGGCCATCCCTTGGGGCTGGTGAAAAACCGACACAAAATACCCATTAAGCAGGTTGGCTTTTCCCTGGGTGTCAGTTGTCCCATATGGTTTAGCAGGGGTCCAATGTTACCCTTGCTTTTCCTCCAGCTCCCCACATATCTAAAAAAGGACTTTTTATTGTCCTTGATACATGTAGCCAGTTGGAGTTCAGCTGCAGTCTTGGCTTTCCTGCTTCACTCCCTACAGGTCCGGACCAGTGCAGAATAGCCCTCCTTTGGGGTGGATCCAGCCTTCCATCCTTTGTAGGTCTTTCTTTTTAGATGCATGAGGTCCACTAGTTCCCTGCAGAGCCAAGAGGGCTGCTGTGCCCTTTGGCTGCCTTTCCTCCGAGACAGGATAGAAATTGCCTGTGCTTCCAGGATTGCTTCCTTGAGGAGCAACCACTCATCCTGAACTCCCCTGCCCTTCAGGTCATGGTCCCTTAGGGCCTTGCCAACAAGTCTCCTGACCTTGTCAAAGTCAGCTTTCCTGAAGTTGAGGACTTCTGCATTGCTGACTGACTTGCCAGCTTTACAGCAGATACTGAAGGTAATCAGCTCATAGTCACTGTCTCCCAGCTTCCCTTTGATTATTAAGTCATCCCCTGTTGCCAGTACCAGGTCAAGCAGCGCTTTGCCTCTCATCGGTCCATAAAGTTCTTGAGTCAGATAGAGCTCATCTACACACTAGGAAGCTTTGCAACCATTCGGATTTGGCCGAGTGCTCTTCCCACAAGAAGTCTGGGTAGTTGAAGTCTCCCATAACAACCATGCACCAGGAGCATGCAGCCTCAGCCAGTTCCCTGGTGAATTCCTGATCAATCTCTTGATTCTGGCTAGAAGGTCTGTAGTAGACTCCCACCATTGTCTCCCCTGTGCCATGTTCACCATAGATTTTAACGCAGAGAGTCTCCAGTCGTCCACCCTGGGTGTCAATGTCGGCTTGCAGGGACGTGTAGCTTTCCAGGACAGAGAAAACTACACCCCCACCCCTTTTGTCCACACGATCTCTCCTGTACAAGGTACAGTCGTCTGTACCTGTGGCCCAGTCATAGGTGGAATCCCACCAGGTTCCCGTTATACCTATGAGATCAGAGTCATTCTTGTTTAGCAGGAGGACCAGTTCCTCCTGTTTATTGGAAGCACAAGTTTCAGTAGCTCTTCCCTTTCCTTGGTTCATCAAGCCTTTGCCCAAACTCCTACTAGAAGCACCTTCCACAAACTGTGGACACTTGTAAAACTGAAACATTCACTACTGTGTATTCAAAATGGCATTCAGCTGCTTATAGTAAGTATCAGTGTCTGTACAATCTTAATCAGGTCTGCCTCCAAAACAATCCTCTCACACTGAAAGGAACCCCATAAACAGCAAAGAAAAGGATGTTTCATATTGTATCAACAAAAAAATACAGCTCAGTAAATACCAAGTTCATGTGTACAATTTCACGTAATATCTTGATGACTCCCTTACCTCTCCATTGAATTGCTTGTCTAGGTAGTAATCAGGGCAATTCTGAGAGTCCTCTCATCTAATTAAAACTGGACTGATTCTACAAAGACCTTCTGAATACCTTCCAAGAAGTAACTAGCCAGTGTGCATTTACAAATTAAGGTAATTCTTTTTAGGAACACTCAACAACATGACACCACACTATAGACAGCTTTAATAAAAGTTCTGAGTCCACTGAATTATCATCTTATCACTCCTTGTCTATCAGCTGTGTTTACTGGTGCAGCCCTTTGAAAATACAATTTCCCACTACCTCTCAGAAATATATATTTTTATTATTAATCATAAAGGCACCAAGGCACATATGGAATGTAAACTTTTTTCCTCGCCTAATGCACTTTGCCTTTGGAATTAGTGCCATACATCATGCAGCTTACAGACATTTTTTTTTTTAACATATCATTACTACTAGTGCCGGAACATGTGATGAATAATGTACTGTTGTGGCATGTAGGGTTAATGTACTGACATTTTGCCCCTGGTAGACTAGGTTGAAATCCTAGTTTTGTCTTAAAAAATAAGCAAGCAAGCATTATGGTTTTGTCCCTGTTCAAGTGCATCAGAAAAATCATCTGCAAAACTGACAGTCAACTCAGAGAAGAGTAGGGGCGTTTCAAATGAGAATTTTACTACATTAACAGAGCTTTGTATCCACTTATGCAAAAACAGGGCTCTAATCTCTCAACATAACATGGGGGGGAAGGAAGGGGGAGAGAAAACTTTTTTTTTTGTATTTGAAATTCTCCATTAGCAAATAAACTCTTAATGAAAGTAGAGAAGAGACTCGCTTGGAGTAATTTTAAAAATATATAAACAAACAGAAGCACTCTCTCCTAAAAGCTTTATAACATTTACATCAATATAAGGAAGGCTTCTGTTACCTAGAATGTGCTTTTCTCACCCTCACCTTGCAACCATTATTCACATACACAAAATTGTATTGGAGTAAACTCAAATGGCTTCTCTTACATACAATCCTATATATATATATATATATATATTTATAAAATCCTTTATACCACACATCAACAAACACTTAAAATTAGGAGTATCAATTGCCAGCTAACAAGAGAAAGCAGCTTCCAAGGTGAACTTATGGGAAAATAAATGACTGACAGGAAAACAGTATAGATTCCAGACAGATGTGGATATATGTGAAATAGAAGGCTGAGCATCCCCAACTGTGGAAAGCAAACAAAGTAAAAGGTGGGAAATAAAATCTTTGAAGACTAGAGGTAAATGAGAAAGCAAGAGAACAGGTGGATAAAAGCTGAAGTAAAACAGAGCATGTTCATGTTAATTATTTTGAATGTGATTTATGGGCATCTCTCAAGCCAGTGATAGTGAGAAAAGACAGATGGAAGATGGCTTGTCATTAAGGAACAGAGCTGGAAATTAGGGGCACCTGTACACACCATGGCGTTTAATCCTCATTAAATTAAATAGGTTTATAACATTTAAACTAGTTTATTTTGGAGTGTTGCATCACTGTTTGCACACACTACATTTTCAAACTAATTAAGCTTTGGAGCGTCACAACAGTGTTTGCACACGCTTGGTTTTTGAACGAATTAAGTCCAGCCCCTGACTGGTGCTGCAGGACAGCAGGATGGTCCGGATCTGCCCCACCCCAACCCAGAGCCCCCCAGTCCATGCTGTACTATGCAGCTGTGGAAGCATAGAGCTGGCACACGCCACAAGAAAAAAAAAGAGGAAGCAATTTGAAAGCAGAAACAATACAAAGGGGTGAACTACAAAAAGTTGCAGCGTCATCTGATAGACAAAGAGGTTCTTTACACATCTTTGAGTGCCTTTGTATTTGCAAGCAAAAAATCCATGGGCGCGAACCTTTAATTCGTGGTGAGCCAAAGAAAACTACTTCCAAGGAGTTTTACTTTAATGCCAGAAAGATTTTTAAAGCATCCCGAAAACCTGCTCAAGAAAGGGCAAAAAATGTGGCATGTGCAAAGGTCCTAGAAGATTTGCATTCAATTCTGTCCTCTGCCACAGGTTTCCTGGGTGATTTTGAGCAAACCACTTGATCTGTACCTGATTAATAGTACATCTTTATCTCACAGAGCTACTGTGGGAATAAACCCATAAATACTCAGGAAATGCTCAAGCACTGTGGTGATAAGAACAATATGCATATTAAACAGAAAGTCAATAGCAAGATCCAACATCTTACAGTAAAAATGGTACACTGGCTAAAGAATTCTGAACCCCCTAAACTTTAAGAGGGTATTGCAGATATTTACAAAGACTTCTAAAGAAAGAAGAACATGCAAACTGGAAAGGAAAAAGAAAAGAGTAACTTAAGCCAAAAAATGAACACAGACATTTTCTTGTAAAATGTTAAATGAATATGGGAAAGCCCTACCGTGCCTTTGTGGCTTCCTTCTTTTTATTTGTTCAAAACAATCCTTCAAAAAGAGCATTTTTAATATTTTTAAAGGTCTAGAGCACTAAGTTGTATACAAATCATTTGCATTTCTTAACACAAATATCAATTATTTTTATTTTATTGTACAATAATGCTCAACTATGAGTAAGGCACCACTGTGCTACACATAATACATACGCTTAGTAAGGGACTACTACCTGTGTCCCAAGGAACTTAAAATCTGAATGGACAAAGACAGACAAAGGGCCAGAGGAAAGGGAACTAAGGTACAGAGGGATTAAGTGACCCGCTCATCATCACATTGGCAGAGCTGGACACTAAACCCAGCTCTTCTGAGAGTCAGTCCAGTGCCTTAGCCTCAAGATTACCATTTCAATTTTTAATACTTCCTCTTTGCCTTTGAAATCCTAAGGGCTAGATGAAGAGCATATTGTCAGTTTATGTTCCTTCAGTTTTACTCAGAAGTTCATGCACCCTTCCTTTTAAGTCTATCCTTCCTCTATTTCCTTCAGCCCGATTTGAAAAAAATTCAGACTCTAAAATCAGCATAAGATTTGGCCTGTTTTGGACCTGCAGGATGAGGCCTCTTGGGTGCTGAAATGACAGTATACAAACGAGTCTTTCCACCAACTTACAATTCTGTTGGTGAAGTTACTGAAGTCCTTCACTAAGATATGTTTGATCATCTCTGGCTCAGACACCACCATGTATGTACGACGGCCAATGTAGTACCTACAAATAAGGTAGAGAATTGTATCAATAGTTATAGCCAACAGATGATGAATAGCCACCTTCCCCAAGATGCTATAGTAGCTCAAATATGTTCCTATAAATAAATCAAAATAGTTTTCCATTCCCTTTGATAGCTTAGTATCTCCTGCAACTCTCTCTCCCTAAAAAAGAAAAAGCTGTCAAGTCACTGGTGTTTTATATAACCAATGTATATGTTTGAGTAGTTTTTTCCCTAATTATTTTCATTACTCACTAAAATCCAATCCTGTAATTTTGTAAAAACCTGATTAGAGGAGGTTAAAATCCTGGGGTTTTTACATGTGCGCCGGGGGTGGGATTTAATTAAAGCACCCTCAGTGTCTCCTGTATCAGTGTCCCTGCACTTCAAAATGGTGGCAGAAGTGCTTGAACTAAAGCTCATACATTTAGTTAAAGAACTCCCGCTGCCATTTTAAAGCATAGGGATGCTGATACATGAGAGACAGAGGCTGGCTGGAGCACACTAATTAGCATGCTCCAGCAGACTTGATTAATCGAGTCTGCTCTGACACACTGTAATTACAGCACATCAGAGCAGCCTCCTAGCACATCTACAGGCACCCATGGGTGGTATAAATGTGTGAATTCCTCTCCACAGTGAAACACCTAAACATCTCCAAACCTGTGCATCACTAGTTTGCAATTGTTGCAGAAAGACTAAAGAACAAATGGCCCTGAACACTAACCTTTCTTTACATTCCTTCCCAAACATGGGTCTGTCCAGGTGAAATATAGAGCATCCTGGCACAGAAGCAAAAGCACACCTTGCAATTCTGTCGTGTGTTGTCTTTGGTGGCAAGAGGGGTTTGGACCCCCAAATATATGATTCAAGCATTTTCAGAGGGACCAAATTCACTTTGACACAAAGCAAACCGGAATCATAATATATTTAATTTCAAATGTATGTACACTAAATATCAATCCTTATGATATCAGACCCACTTCACTGTTTCTGGGACTTCGTCCTTCAAATGATTCATTAATTGAATCGCAGCTGGCATTAACAGCTGGCAATAAAGTTTCCAGCCATTCTCTCTCTTGTATCATATAAAATAATTAATCCCATTAAAAGTGTGAGTGTCTATGTGTGTGTGTGTGTGTGTGTGTGTGGCAGGGGGGTAGATGGGGCCAGGAGGAAAAAAGAATGGGACAGAGTATAAGCAGTAAATCCAGTAATGTATCCAAAACACTCCAAAGTGTCTAAAATTGCTTTTATGCAAGGTTCTGTGCTGTTAATCTGCCTGTGAGACAAACATGTTTAACAGTAGATTATATTTAAGGGTGAAGGAAAAGCCATAATATATTAAGTGTTCCCCTCAAGGCTCCTTCCTGCTTTCACAAACCCCATGTTTACTGCAACATTCTTCCTAATCTTTGCTTCTTTCTGTTAGGAAAGAAGTTGGAAAGCACTCTGGAAAACTCAATTCCACACATTACAGTAATGAACTCCTCATTCTCTTCTTCCATCTTAAAAAAGAAAAAAAAGCAAAGCAGGAGGGATGAGGGGAGCTGAGTACAAAACAATGTATGAACTACTCTGTTTGGTCAACACGAGTCCTGATCCTTCAGAAACATCAGCATATACTGAACTTTAAGTACATGAGTCACCATATGCCCAAAGTCTTTACAAGATCAGAGCCTTGTTCTCAAAACCAAGAGGATGTTTCCCTACCAGTATTTGTTTGTTTTCTAGCTGTCTAATAGGATAAAAACTCTGAAACAATAATCTTCTTAAATAAAATACACAGACTTCCCC